ACATCAAGAATACAGAAATAAGTAAACATGACTAATACAGAAGCTAGCATTTTTCTGATTACAAAACCAGATAAAAATATTACAAACCAATGACCTTGATGTATACTGACTCAAAATTTCTTAACAAAATATTAGAAAATTGAGTTTCACAATATATAAAATCCACAATACCCCATATCCAAGTAAGGTTTATATTAGCAATACAAAATTGGTTTGATATTCTCAATAAAAAATGCAGAAAAAGAGTTTCAAGATATTCCTGATAACTATAGTTACAAGTAGAATAGAACTTCCTCTCAACTTGATGATGGGCATCAACATGTAGAATATCTACAGTTAACATGATACTAAATGTTTACAGACAGGGTTTTTTTTTTCCTAAGGCTGGGAAATGATCTTAAATCTTCATTCAAGTGTGCTAGGGCCTAGCCAGTATGATAGGTCAACAGAATGTAATCAAAAGCATCTGGATTGAAAGGAATTTCTGTGGCCATTGTGTAATCATCTATGTAAAAATCCTAATGTATAAAATCAATCAGCAAATTTAATAGCATTAACAAACATATTATTAACAAATTAAAAAACTCAACTGAAAGCCTCTCCAGTAGAATACATCAAATTGACGACAGATTATGGGGCCTTGAAGATAAGGGAGATGTCCTAGAACATTCGGATGAAAATAAAGAAAAAAAGTGAAGTATGAAGGCAAAACTCTGAGGCACCATTAAAAGACCAGTCACAGGCATAGATGAGGGAGAAACAGGTGAAAACTGAAGGCGCAGAAAACATATTCAATAAAGTAATTGCAGAAAATCCCCAAGTCTTGGAAAAGAGATGGCCATCTACTTGTGGGAGGTATTTAAGGCCCCAAACAGACAAGACTAGAGAACAAGGCATGTTATAGTTAAAACATTAAGTATGCAGAACAAGGAAAGAAAATTCAAATCTGCAAGAGAGAAGCACAGTCATAGATAAATGGAAACCCATTAAAATAACAGCAGATTTCTCAACAAAAACTTCAGAGGCAAGGAGGGAATTGGATGATATATTTCAAGCCGTGAAAGAAAAAAAAAAAAAGCTCACCTAGATTACTGTATCCAACAAGACTAGATTTCAGAGTTGAAGGGAAAATAAAAACCTTTCATTACATATATTTTAAAAAACTAAAGGAATTCATAGTTATCCAGCCCTGCAGAAGTGCTGCAGAAGATCTTAGTGATGCTATACACAGAATAGAAAGATATATGAAACTCTGAGAAAGAATAAATCTCACCAGATGAGTAGATAAACAAATGAGAAGTAGGAAAGAAACAAATACTACAAAAATGACAAATGGCCTGAATTTCTACATGCCTTTCAATGTAACTGAATGTTAATGGAGTCAATTCTCCAATCAAAAGACACAGACTGGCAGATTGTAATAAAAAATTGTTGCCTAAAAGAAATGTATCTTATTGGCAAAGACAAACATAGGGTTAAAGTGAAAGAATGGAAAATGACTTTTAAACAAATGGAGCCCCCACACCAATCAGGAGTATCAGTATCTAACAAAGCTGACTTCAAATCAATATTAGTCACAAAATACTAAGAAAACTGTTTTCCATACGTATAAAATATGATACACTTATTCTATTCTCAGGTATTCAGTCAAGAGAAATAAAAGAAATATGTTCACACAAAGAATTATATGGGAATATTTATGGATATTTGTTATGAATAGCCTCAAAATGGAAATAGGTCATATGTTCATGGCAAGGTAAACTGAGTTTTTAAAATGGGATTTATCTATGAAAATGCAATAGTAGACAAGGAACATACAGATATGCATAGCTTTAATAAATTTCAAAAAAAATTACATAGAAGAAAATGATCAAGATAAACAAAGTATGATATATTTCCATTGTAGAAAACTTTGGGATGGGGTAGAAAGTAAATTAGTGTGAGGTTGTTTGGAAAGTGGTACAAAATACTCTTTGGGGAAATTAAAATGTTCTATATCTTCCTGGTGGTTACATAAGAACATACACTTGTTAAAAAACTTAACTAATATCATGACCTCCAAGATAAATTGCTAAATGATATATGTGTGCTATGTGTGTACTATTATGTCATTTAGGTTTAAATGTATGTATGTGTAATACAATTATCAAGCTTTATGTGTGACTGAATTTATATACAATGAACTGTTTACCATTGGCAGTCTTTGTAGAAGGAGGTTTCAGATTTAAGATGGTGTCAAAAATTTTTCACTGTATTATTTTTTCAATTCATTTTTATGCAAATATTTTTTCAATTAAAAAGAACCAAATTAAAAAACTAACTAAATTTGTCCTGATAGAATTAAAAAGGCAAGGAAGTCTTTATTCAAAATTTTTATATTAAGAGGAGGGAGAAAACTCAATTCCAATTCCACTGAAACAAAAGGCAAGAAAGATTATAAGCAAGGAAGTGACCTAGTAGAATAGTTCTAGACAGGTTAGGGATAGGTTGGTTAATATGGTTGGACCATCTGTGTCTGCTGATTGTGCTTATGGAAGTTAGGTTCATACTCTCCCACAGAGCTAGAGAAGTAGGGGTGTTACCTTTCTTGAGCATTGCATTTTGGAAAGATGGCACTCAAGCTCTTCAGAAAGAAAGTTCTGGGTTATAGAATTGGTGAGAGACTAGATTTACATATTACTAGGCAGAAAAATAATTTATAAATGCCAGTTTTCTGATGTAAATACTCTAAGAATAGGGAGACCAAAGGCCAATAATCAGGAGCAATCTGTCAAAACATTAATCAAGCGGAGGGAAGAAGCAATGACATCTTAGTAACTCTGAACCTAAGATGAATGGGTACAGTGTATTTGAGACCTCAATAAAATTTATTAAAAATAAACCACAATTAAATGCATCAAACTCATTACAAAAATTATAAACACCATAAATACCAAATTCTGTCTACCTGTTAGTTGTTGTTACCTAAAAGAAAAAAACCTTATTATTTGATGAGCAAACAGCTATTATCTTGGAGCTAAGTGCCTGCATACTAAAATATCATGAAGACAGCCTGACAGGTGTCACCCTTCTGGATGTTTACTGTTTTAAAGAGGTCACTAAGTGTCTTGTGATATTCCTGGGATTGAAAATGGACAAGAGATCTATTTAGTACTCTTAGAAAAGTTTTATATACATCTCAATAAGGCAGAAATGGCATTCATAATTTTAAGTTTTCTGAACAAAATTCTAAACTATAAGGGATGGGTACTTTCCCTTTTTGCAAAAGATAAAATTCATTTTTTCTTTATTGATTTACTCTTACAAAGTTCCAAACAATGGAGAAATACTTAATATTTAAAAGGAATGAAGCTGGGCATGGTGGGACATGTCTGCAAACCTAACACTTGGGAGGTAGAAGCAGAAGGATGCTGAGTTGACATCTTGTCTCCAGCAAACAAACAAAAATGAATGAACCACTTTCATACAGCAACACGGGGAAAAAAATCTCAAATGCAAAACTTACATATTGCATATGCCAATTATGTGAAACTTCTTAAAGATTGTAAAGACCAAATTAGTGGTTGCTTATATCCAAGTAGGGAATAGAAGACTGCCTGGAACGAATAGGTACAGAGAACTTTAGGGAGTGATGGAAATGCTTTATATCTTGAATGTGGTGGTGGTAACATAGGTGTATTTGCTTACTAAAATCTTCTGAGCTGTGCATTTTAAGTAGGTGCTTGTTACATCTAAATTACTCATCTACAAATATATATAAATTTATATTATATATAAATTTAAATTTCCGTATATAAATATATATGTATAGTAACTGTTAGTTCACGTCCTACCTTTTTGTAATATTTGAAAAATTCCCAACAAACAGGAAGAACTAATAGAATGCAAGGCAACATTAAAAGTGTTGGTGTGGAAAAGAGATCGGTAACTTCATCATCATTATCTGTGAATTCAGAAGAATTCACACCCTAGTTTTTTTAAATCAGCACCTGAGTTTAAATAGATGTCCAGATGACTCAAATGCTTATTAAAATTTGTGAAGCACTTCATCAAAATATTTCTGAGAGGAAATTTTATTACTGTTCTTGGAGGGATAAATGAATTCCAAGGGCCAGAAATCAGTGGGAATCTCCACTAATGCTGCATTTACGAAGGTGGAGTAAAAGACAAAATGATGGAATTCATGTTCTGTCCTCTCAACTGCCAAGTGCTGAGTTCCACTGCGAAGGAAGGCAGGAAGGGTGCTAAAGAAAACCTGCAGTTTCGGCCTTAATTTCTTGGAGGGCAGAGTCTCAGCTCACAAAAGAGGAAGCAAAAACTCTCCAGTCCTGCCGCTAATTTGCACATGGCGGGGCAAGGAGGGCAGGCAGAGCTTTGGGACCCACAGCCAAGCCTTTCCATCCTGTCCATCTTTTCTGCTGTCACACCTAGGCTTTGTCTCTAGGAATAGCTCACGGGGCTGGGCTAAGCTGGGGGCAGCGCTGTAGGTGTGGAGGTGGCCATGCCAGACCTAAACCAAAGCCGGGCGAGGTGACTTCGCAGGAACGTCCGGGCGTGGCCGCACAGAAACCGAGCCAAGAGGTGGCGAAGGGATGGAGAGGGCAGAATAGTGGGGACAGGGCTTTACCGCGATGGGTGGAGCGTTGCCGCAGGGGGCGGAGCCGAACGCTAGAGAAGAGAAGAGGCGGGGCGGAGGCAGCGTGGGCGGGGAGTTACCATGGAGAGATAGGGCGTTGCCACAGGGGGCGGATCCGAACGCTCGTGTAGGGGTGTGGTGGGGCGTTACCGTGGCGTTACCTCAGGGGGAGGAGCCAAATGCTGGCGAAAGGGTGGGGCGGGACGGAGCGGCGGCAGGCGTTATCGCGGGGGGTGGGGCGTTGCCGGAGGAGGAGGAGGAGCGTAGCGGTTGCGAAGGGTGGAACAAGGCGGAGCAGCGGGGGCTGGGAGGTGTGGGGGTGTTGCCGCAGGGGGCGGAGCCGAGCGGAGCAGTCCTGGCCAGGGTGGGGGCGGGGTGAACGCGGAGGGCCTGCGAAGAGTGTCTGGTCGCGCGTCGAGCGCCGCCCGTGGTGGGCGGGCGGGGCCGGCGACCCCCGTGTGCTCTCATGGGGATGTGTTTTCCCTGCCCCGCGGAGTCGGCGCCCCCTTCGCCGAACCTGGTGAGTAGGGCCGCGCCTCGCGCACCTGTTCCGCGGCGCCGCGCGCCCGAGGCCCGAGCCGTGGGCAGCCCGCGGAGCCGTTGGATACGGCGGCGGGGCTCAAGAGCCCTCCTGTGGGAACCTTGGTGACAAGGACGTGTGGCCCTTTACCTGGGTCATTGGGGACCTGCCACGATCCATGTCACCGTCTCCAATTTCTTTAAAAAAAAAACAAATTGTCCCAAAGCGACTTTAGACTTGGGTTCTTTTTTACCTTTCGCTGACTTTGGCAAAATTGAGTAGGACGTCGGTGTAAGCAGACGGTGCAGCGGTTGTGGGGGCCGTAGATGGAGTTAGGGTGCCCTAAGCTGTTTCTCCGAGAAGTGCCTACTGTCCTAGGGGATGTGCCTTTTCCTGTGTCTGTACGAGCTGTTTAAAGAAGGTGATCTGCCCATTTCCGTCTTGTATTTACCTCGTGCTTTCGTTTCTGTTCTTCCCTTTAACCAAAAAGAACTCTTGACGCAGTGTAGATTGTACACCTTGTCAGGCTGCCATACTTAATAAAAATACTGGGCACCCAGTTAGATTTGGACTTCAGAAAAACATGGAATACATTTTTCATGTAGGTTTTCATTATTGCAACATTTGGGATACATTTATATAGAGTAGTCATTTATCTGAAATTCAGATTTAACCAGGTGATATGTAGTACATTGATACTTTTTGTTGAATTCTGTTATTAATAGTATTTTTACATTAGTATTCCATACAGGAAGTTGATAACATAAAAAACCTACCTTCTTTTCACTTCTCCTATCTAGCTAAATATTAGTTGGGGAAATGACATATTTAAGGAAATACATTAATACTTGAGCCTCTTGTTGCTGCTATTGCTTTAAAATGATACTAATTTTGTTTATCTAGCTGTTGAGAAAATAGCAGTTTGTCAACATGTGTTAAGCTGTCCCCCCATCCTCACGCTACACTCTCCTCCCTTGATAACCACGTGACTCACTGCTAGGCGTCACTATCAGTGAAGCTCTGTTGTCCCCACTATGCCACCTTTCCATCCTCCATTACTTCTCTACCATACTCTGTATTTCCCCCAAACAACTACTGCCATCTGACAGGTATTTATTAACTTGATTATCTTTGTTTCTGTGCCCTCATTGAAATTTAAGTTTAATGGGTTTGGAGACATTTGTCTATATGTCTATATTTTGTTTTCACTACTGTATTTCCAACACCTAGAAAAATTCATGAGGCACTGTTGTATTCAGTAATTTGTCCAAGGGATGAATGTATGTATTGTGACATGAAAAACAAATGGATTATTTACACTACTCCCCAAGAAAATGCTATTGGTTTAGTATGTTTAACAATTTCATAATTAAGCTGTATATGACATAGAAAAATAATACTGTTTCCCAGCATGAAACAGTACCTCTAGTGAATTTACTTATCCTCCTGAAAGCACTAGCCCACTTCAGTCTCCCTTTAAGCTGTCAGTACCAAATGCATTTCTCTGTTTTTGTTATTGTTGTCTCAACGGTTTACAAAAAAAGAAATTAAGCATATTGTTAATAGGCCAACCGCTTATATTTATTTTAGTATATGCTTATATGAAGGTTATTGATCTGGAGAATGAAATCCAGAAAGCTGCATATTCTGTAAATGTTCCAAGAGCAGTGAAACTTTTGTTGTTTAATTTGGTTTGGTTTGGGTGAGGGCACAGGGTGCTGCTATATTGCTCAGACTGGCCCTGAACTCCTTGTCTGAAGCAATCCTTTTGCCTCATCCTGTTAAGTATCTAGGATTACAGGCCCAAGCCATCACTCAGCTTTAATAATGGTATTCTTTGTTAGACATTTTGAGCCAGTACTAAATATTTTTTGTAAACTCTTATATTACCTATAAAATATTAGTTATATAACTTATCCATGATAATGTTTGGTTTTATCTTAAAACATTTTTTAAACATTTTCCTTAGGAAGAGAAAAGAGCAAAGCTTGCAGAGGCTGCAGAGAGAAGACAAAAGGAGGTGAGATTAAAAATAAAATTATGCCTACTTAGATGTTTTGTTACTAGTATTCTGTAATGTAAATGGTATCTGATAACCTAAAAAATTATTTTTAAAGATTATCATTTTAAAAATTATTTCTGCATTTCAACAAACTGCATGTATTTACATCACTTAATGTAAGAAAATTAGCCAAAAGATTTCTTCTGCAAGTTGAGATGCTCCTACAATAGCATTCTGTGGGACAAAATACCCAAGCATTGTAAAACACTTGACAAACGTGCAGAAGTTTAGGGAGTGTTTTTGTATGGTTGCAACATATCCAATGGAGAAATAGCAGTTTATCTTATGAAAGGCTGTTGTAGAAATACATTTTGTTAGCAAAAATAAATCAACTTCACAACTCCAAAGAAAAAACTAAAAAGGAAATACAAGTACCTTTTGGACACAGGATACCAATTTTTGTTGTTTTTTTAAAATTCCATCCTTTATCAAATTTCTTAAAGGCCGCATCTCGGGGAATTCTAGATGTTCAATCTGTGGAAGAAAAGAGAAAGAAAAAGGAAAAAATAGAAAAACAAATGGCTACATCTGGGCCACCACCAGCAGGTGGACTTAGAGTAAGTATTAAAATTTATTTAAGGTTCAACTTAATGGACATTTTTGAAAATTTATATAGTAACCCAATCAATAATCTGAAAATGCATTATGAGAAAATTTGAAATGATCAAAAGCTTGGATTAGATAAATTTGGTGGAAATGTCAATTTATTTTAATATTCACTTGAATACATTTGCTTTCTTGTTTCCAGACTGAAAGGAATAGTTTTTTTCGTAATTATCTTAACACTATAGCTTGATACTTTCATATTTAATCTTAAATGTGTCCAAAATTCAATCAATATAGAAAAATATAAAGAATACAGAATTACCCAAAGTCAATGTTATTTTCACACTTATCATTTCTAATCTCTATTTACATATAAATCTTTAAATAAGATTACCTTATAGATTCTGTTTTATAGCCTAATTGTTTCACTCATGTTTTTGGATCTTTGTTCTTTCTTTTGTCACTCATTATCATAGTTATGAAAATTTTAATTTGAACTGTAGGTTGTACAGATAAGAGTGTGACACATGTTCCTCCCAATGCATCTGTGATAGTGCTAGACACTGGGTATATACTGGTGGACAAGTTAAGCAAGGTCCTTGAACTCTGGAATCTTTATAGTCTAGCAGGACTATAAAGGTTTTATTATACATGGTATAGATCAGGAAAATAATGATTCGGGTACTAAGATTTTACTGATGGTGATTTTTAAAGAAACCACTTTCCTAAAGTAAATGTATTGTGAATTGGACAGAGTACTTAATTTTACTCATTTATAGTTAACTGTTTTTGAAAGTCAGTTTTGGTTTTGCTTTCAAAACCACATACCTACACTCAAACACAGTTGTGTCTACATACCCATAAATTGTGGGGCCTGCAACCTAGGAGTATCCTGAGTAGAGTTGATGCTGGCTCAGGAATAGCACACAGAAATGAGTTATCTGTGTTACTTTACTATTGTATGTTGCTCCATCTAATTTCAATTAAATTAAAAGAAAGACATTTTTCTTTGTAGTGAACTTTTTAAACCATATATAAAATAATTGTCTTCAATATTAAGGTATATAATGTGACCATTTTGGTTATTTTATATACTTTGAAAAAAGAACAAAATGCATGTAGATTGCAAAGATATTAGGCCTTATGTTACTTCTAGTCCTCTCAGAAGAGCTCAAAAAACAAAAAACATTTCCAGTAAATATAGTTCATTTTTCTTCTTTGTGTACTCTTCTTATAAGAAAGCTGTCTGACTCCTTTGGTAATAATGATTCCCATGGGACAATGATTCCAAGATGGAAATTCACAGGAGAATTTTCTCAAAAAGTATATCACACTGTCATAACCACTGCTGCTGACCACTCTGAGCCACTTTTCCCTGGATAGTCCTAATCACCTCTGCCAGCAGCACACTGGCTGCAAGGGGCAAGCACCTTCCCTTTGACCACCTGCAAAGTAAATTCAGAGGATGAAGTTCAACAGAAATATTTTGGAGGCTCAGGGATAACAGAAAAGAAGACAAAATGCAGAAAGAACCTTAATCCTCAAACCTCTTGACCTAGGGTTCTTTAGAGCTGTTCTCTGGCTTGTTTCATGAGCTGACATGGAGTATCCTATAGAATCACAAGATTCTTGCAGTGAGGAAAACATTTCCTTTCCCTGTGTTCATACCTTTCACATATTCTCTGCCAGTTCCCTGGATAACTGGCAAAGATAATGTTCACTGTCATCTGGAAATCCTATGGTGCCAAGATACAAAGTACCATCAATACCAGATACGGCAAGACGGGAGTCCTGCAAGACATCCAGTGTAGTGGCTTGATTGCATATCACTTTCATAGGGAGCGTTAAAAAAAAAAAAAAAAGATCATTTGACCCCATTTCATATCATTGAGAGTCTCTGAGAATGGAATTTAGCCGTAGCAATTTTTTAAACTGCCTAAGGTAATTTTAATGTAAAAAATCAAGTTAAGAATCTCTGCTCTAATATGTTTTGAAGCTAAGATTAAGTGATACATTGTGGAAAATGGAATCTTATGATTAAAAAAAGTTCAAAAGTCCTGAATAGAATAGAATATATCCTAAATATAGTACATTGTAGACTGTATCCTCTTCTTGCAGTTCTCAAAGGGTACAGTATTTAAGCCTCTAAAAAGTTATGCAATAAAGTTTACTTTTACTAACCCTTAATTTTCAAACTGTATTGAAATACAAAGTTTTAAAAATTATGTAATACCAAATATCTCTTGGATGTACTCTGAGAACACTACTTAAGAAACTGTTAAATATCTCTGGTACTTTCCCAGTGGCTTTTTTAGAATTTACTATCTCAGGTATAATATATGTGGTTAAACAAAGCAAAAAAATGAATATTTTCTCAGCTCAATAAAGGTATTATATATCATCAATTAATAATTACTACTATTTTTAAATCTCTGGTTCAAGAAAATAATTCATTTTCTAAAAACATATGGTTTTATTGGGGTTTTTTTTCCTTCAGTTTTTGTTTTATTTTACTGATCCTGGATATTTGGGTTCTTGCTACTATGAAACAGGTTCACTATATAGTGTTTACCTTTTGAGTCTGGTGAGATGCATGCATTCACATGCAGTACATTACATGAAGTGGTTTATTACTTGTGGATGGGCTTCCAGGGAACAGAAGCCTAGGATTCCTCCTGGGGCTCAGGAAAGCAGCCCTGGATGAATGGAGCCTTGACTCAGTATCCCCCACTGCACCTACATTGAGAGAAAGCAGCCTGCCCTTGGTCTTACTACTTGGAGACAATGTGACTCATTGGGTTAAGGTATTAAAGGACACTTTCTAGCAAAGGACTGGACAGAGTCTGGGCTCTTCTGGACAGTCCCTCCCAATTTTAGGTTGTTAATATTCCCAGAAAATTCCTATGGTCATTCTTGATAACTGCAGGCAGGAAAGGGGGGAGAAGTTGGAGAAGAGGGCTTACTACAGCTTATTAATCTGCCCAGATATTTTGTCTTGTCTGTATTTTAAAACTGTCATGTGATTTAAGACTTTTGACTGTAATACAAAATTTTATTATTGCCTGATATTTAAAAAAATCATTTTGCATTTTATAGCCCATATTATTCTTTTTACTTGTTCATTAGTATATTGTTATATAACATTAAATAGAAATTTACTTTTGTCTCTATATTTTTATCTTTTCTAGTGGACAGTTTCATAAAGCATAATATGAATAGAAGAATTTACTGCCAATAACTTCAACATCTGCAATCCAATGGATTTCCTCAAGATTAATTTCATCTCTTTGAATACATGAAAAGTCACTTTGTATTAATAGTGCCCGTAAGTGCAGTGCTAAATCTACATTGAAACTATTGGTAAAACTTTTGACTTTCAAATTTAGAAAATGGATATACTTGTCATTAAATTCTTATTTTCCTATATTTTCTCTTTTGCAAAAAGTGAGTAATTTCCTGTTTTCATAGTTAAATATGGATCTAAATGGTATATATTTGGCATGTAAAAATCAATCATACATTTCTAATACTAAAATTTGTGACTTTATTTCCCTCCTTTGTAAAGTGATCTAGCTACTTTATAGTTGTGCTGCATAGACTTATTTCTGCTTTTATTTCACTGTATATGAAGACATTTGCTTAAACTAAGGGACATAGTGCCTTTAAACTAGTCATCAGGGAAACTTGAAAATTCATTTGAAGGGCTTATGTGAAGGAGCACTATAAATTTTTATAACTTACCAAGTAATGAATATTTATTTATAGGCAGTGTTGAATTTCTCCTAATTTATTTTCTGTTTCTGTACCTTATAAAATTAATATATTGTGTTTTATGTTATAATAATAAAGGTTTTCTTTTGTTTAATTTAAAATTATATATTAGTGGTACCATCAGAAGGTAGTGATATACTATAGTGTAATATCAGATTCAGTTCTGTAAAGATCTATGGAGTAATTGAATGTGGTAAACCAAGAATCTGGATGGGTTATAATGAGTGGTAATATATTTCTCCAAATTTCATAAACATTTTTATTCTTTTGAATTTATTAAAGAATTTTAAGATTTATTCAGATGTAAAATTGCCAATGCAGGTATGAATGTAAGAAAGAAAAACATGTAGGTACTGTATTTAAAAAGGACTGCTTCAAACAAAAATAATAGGAGGGAGTTCTATAGGATGCACTAACAAAAATTTTTTTAGGTTTTTATTAGGAACATGAGTTTTATGACACTTTTTGCTTTCATTTTGCTTTTTAATGTAGAATAAACTAAGATTAACATTTATAGATACTAAATAACAAAAGGGGATGTAAATGAAATAGACCACCTCACTTGATTTAAAAAAAGGAGAATAAGCCACTATCTCATCCTTCCCATAAGGTCTGTATTGTAAAGGTATATTACACAATTAGACCAGCTTATTGAAGGACTTACTACATGAGGTTTTTGAACAAGCACAGTTAACAAAAGATGATGTGCATGCTCAGTTGATGTGGAGAAGCTGTCAGTCAATCCTGCATTTTAGGCAGTTGTGTTTAAACTCTATGCATCATGAGAATTCGTGATTTTTTTCCTCAATGGTGATTTCCTTGGAATTATATACCCAAAGATACCAAGGGTCTACTATTACATGTTCATTTTAAAGAGTTTGATATAATATAGGTGTCTTGTCTTGTCATGAAAAAACTATGTTTTCTTTTGTATGACATATGCTGTTAATATTTAGGCAAGACATGAAGCTAAACAAGTTCAATTTTCTTCATTCTCCAGATTATTTGTGACATTTTTGTTCATAAAAGATAGTGAATCATTAAATTGCATTTCATAACTAAAATTTTTGAGTTCATTAAGAAGATAATTTTTCCAACAGAAAAAGGATAATTAATAGCTCAGTGGATATAGAACCAGAGCATATCATCTTTGAACTATGCAAGGCCTTTCTCCTATTAACATACCAAGAACAAATTTCACTACATCTTAAAGAATTAGAACTTAGTTGTGTTAACAGAAGGTTTACTTCCAGGGGACAATGCTCTATTTCTAACAGCATCTTATACTCAAATAACATACTTAACTACTGCTGAACCATGAATGATCTACATGAACATTGTTTTCTGGGGAAAGTGGGACGTGATTCTTCTGCTAGCCCTGGCCTGCCTCTGAGGTTGTGATCAGCTTTCCCAAAACCACATGTGTTGCAGGCATTAAGCAGTGACACGTCTCTTAAGAACATTTTAGGATGGGGAAGAGAAAGGGGGAAAATGGATGATTGGTAAGAAACTAGAAAATGACTATTAAAAAAACATATAATCCAGACATTTCCCTTAAAAAGTTACTAATCTGTTCATATGAAAATCTTAAGTGGAAGTTAACTTTCTATAATTTATAATTTAAGAGAATAATGATTAATGTCATCCAATCCCTACTGTGCAAATTACTAAAATATAACTGACATAGTAAGTTGCTTACATGTAACTATCATGTTAAGATGTACAATGCTTAAACCACATCTTAATTATAACCATCAAACTCTTAATATGGCAGATAAAAAGTAGTATATCATTACACAGCTCCTTTGTGACACACTGAATGATTTTTAAACATCTAAATGTGATTTTTTTCTTTGAATGTATTGTTTTTGGAATGTGATTTATTTGGAATGTGACTTAATAGTTTTCCCCATAGATTTGGTTACCAATTCTGTATTGTCTTTTGAGGCTATAAATATACATTTTCCTATATAAAAATTGGCTTTGTCTCTGTTTAATAAAATTTTGTCTTTACTACATCTTAAATAATTAGAACTTGGGTTTGTGATTAGGAATAGTTTTATCTCTTTCGGATTAACAACAGCAAGAGAGCTAATAATGATTGTTTGGAGTTCATACAGTCTCTGAGTCTAATGATGTTATTAGACTTCTGGTTTTCTTTAGAGAAAAAAATACTACAATAAAGGCTTTATCATCATTGGTACCACAGGAGAATTGACTTAAGCTTTGAATTTTCCTTTTATCTAAAAATTTGAATTTGATTTGTTTATTTTCACTGATTAGAATTATCCTGTGTCCTCTGAAGATGAAAGTATGTCTTGTCAGTAGCAAATAATTATGCATAAATTGATCAGCAAGAGGTATCTGTTGAGATTTAAGGTGTATTTCTTTAGTATCTTTTCTAGGCAAGCCTTTTAAATTCTGTGTATGCGCTCTAAGCTGATTCACATATGGTAATGAGGCCCTTTTCTTTGCTTATCTAAAAAAAACCCACTCACAAAAAACATTTGTGTGCATAACAGGCTTTGAAGAAGTTTTGACATAGAAGTTGGCATCTGAACAATGTAAAAACTAAATTTCTCATAGGATCTGGCTTTTTATTATACTGTTCTCTTTCTTGAAGTATGCTTTAGTTTCACAAATACTGTCTCAAAATGACCACTGTCATTCAAGAATTAAATATGCATGAATTGATTGACTTGAGTATGATACTTTTGCCATATCCAAAATTATATTGGCTGTTTTTGTAGCACCACACTTGTGCTAAATTTTGAGTTAATGTCCTGTAGTTAACTGAATTTTCAAGAATTTTCTTTTCAGTGACACAATGTCTGGCACCTTATGGGAAGAACATTGCATTTTGAAGAATTTTTCAAATTCTTCAGAGGCAGAGTAAAAACCTTCAGAGGCAGAGGTTTTTACTCAGTCCTTTTGGCTGTCACAAAATAGTTACAGAAATAACAGTTCTCACAGTTCTTTATAGTCCGTAATGTTGTTCTTTGTTGCTCAGTATTGCTTTGGCTAATCATGGTCTTTTGTCTTTCCAAATGACCTTTAGGGTTGATTTTTTCAATTTCTGTGATGAATGTCATTGGAATTTTGATGGGGTTTGCATTGACCATGTAGATTGCTTTTGGTAATATATCCATTTTCACATTATTGATTCTGCCAATCTGTGAGCATGGGAGACCTTTCCATCTTCTGTAGTCTTTCTTCAGTGGTTTAGTTTTCATTTGTAGAGGTCTTTCACTTCCTTTGTTAAGTTTATTCCTAGGTATTTCTTTCTTTGTTTTTTTGACACTCTTATAAGTGTAATTATTTTCTTATATTCTTTGTCAGTCTGTTCATTGTTGGTATGTAGAAAAGCTACTGATTTTTGTAGATTGATTTTGTATTCTGCTACTTTGCCGAAGATGTTTATGATGTTTTAAGAGTTTTTTGCTGAAGATGTTTATGATGTCTTAAGTAGTTTTCTAGGTCTTTTAGGTATATGATCATGTCATCTGCAAATAGGAATAGTTAGACTTCTTCCTTTCTTACTTAATTCCGTTCATTTCTTCTTCATGTCTTATTGCTCTATCTAGGAATACTAAGACTATGTTGAATAAGAGTGAAGAGAGTGGACACTCTTGTCTAGTTCCTGATGATCACCATTAAGAAGGGGACTAAGGAAGAAAGGAGAAAAATAGAGGGGATGAATCAATTAGTGTTATAATACATATATATATATATGTATATATATATAATGTCATAGTTAAACTCCCTGTACAGCTATCTTAAACAAAAATGTCTTCTTTAAAAAATGGAGACCAGGAAGGTAAAACAGGCCCTGTTTGGGGCTTGGTACCAGTGGAGGAGGAAGAATATAAGGTAAAGGTGTAGGAGGATGAATATGGTGAAATGTTATGTACTCGTGAATGAAAATGGAAAATTGAGACCCGTTGAAACTATTCCAGGAATGGGGGAGGGGGATAAAGGAGAATGATGGAGGAGGTGAATTAAAGTATTAAACTATAATATAAGAACTTTGGTTAATGTCACAATGTATCCCCAGTACAACAACAAAAATATCTTAATTAAAAAAAAAACAACACCCACAATAAATACCTTTCAGAGGTCCTGAAATCATTCCTTAAGTGTCAGTGATTTAAGGAGTAATGATTTTCTCCCTCCCACACCAGAAAAAACTATACGAATAACAGTAGATCTCTTTACAATCTTGGTGTTTTTCACCAGGTTCCTGGAGTACTTAGATTTTTAATACTTACTCACTTGTATAATCATACTTCCTTGGAACCTACTCTGGCTGAGAATAAGTAAATACCAGCTCATTTCACTCTGCTGTCTGGCCAGTCATCATTAAGTCAATGAGTAAGAGCCACCTACATTTGGTTATTACCTTATGAATACAGTCTCATTTTTCTGCATCCCTTCAAGTGCTGATCAGCTTGCAGCTAGACCCCAATGTTATTTGTGTTCTCTGCAACACTTACCAGACCATTTTAAATGTAGCACAGGCCTAGTAATCCTCTTCTCCCCCACAAAATATGTTCATGTCTGAATTTCATGAATCTGTAAATATTCTATTTTATACAACAAAGGTATTTTTAAAAAATGGGATCAAGTTAACAACCTTTAATGGAGTTTGTCTAGGTGAAGTTATTTCTTAGTACTTGAAGACCTTTTCCAATCTATGTTCAAAAAAAGAGATGTGAAGAAAGAACAAGGGTTAAAAAAATGCAGTGCTGCTGGCATTGAAGATAGAGGAGGCTATGAGCCAAGGAATGAGTTGCACGTTATTTCTGGAAGGTGAGGAAGGCAAGGAAATGGATCTCTCCTAGAGTCTTCAGAAAGGAACAAAGCCCTTATAACACTAATTTTGACCCAGTGAAGTCATGTTGAACTTCAGACAACTCTTTTAGGTAACAACTCATACAATAAAGAAATTAATATTTGTAAGCTATTTTTATATTTGAACTAAATTAATGAAATTGGCTTTCATTATTAAAGATATGAGTATGTTTATGGAAAATTCTAAAGATAGTTTTAATGGAAAAATTGTCAATAACAATACACAAAAAATTAGTGTCAATATTAGTTTAATGATACAAAGATTGAATTACTCAGTATATTTAAAAAGATATTAGATAGCTGGATGTGATAGTAGACACTTGTAATCCAAACACTTGTCAGACTGAGGCAGGAGAATTGTGAGTTTGAGGTGAGCCTGGGTTACATAGTGAGACACTATCTCAGAGAGCAAATAAGCCAAAAAAAAAAAAAAAATAGAATTATTCATTGCACCAAGATGATTCTATCTCTTACAAAAACTTTAGGTTTTATTTTTTTCATTTGTTTGTTTTTAAGCGGCGCTGACATTTTTCCAGAATCAGTACTGCCATATTCAGTACCACCAACTTATGCCACGTACTTTTACAAATTTCCCAAAGAACAGGTTAAATGTGTTTTGACTAGATTGTGACAGATTACGCCACCCTTTTTTTTAGCAAGAAAGGTGAATTTTTTTGTTGTTGTTGAAAAATAATGAAATAACAAGTTAACTCTGCCAATGCTTTTTTATTGTCAGTGTTGCACTTAAAATCTAAACCTCAGCTGAGGTAAAAGAATACCACCAACCTTATCTTCTATTATGAGTAGGCTATGGGTAGCCATACTTTGACCCTATTAACTCTCAGGAAAAGTAGCAATTTGAAGATTAACTTTATTTTAGATTAAAGCATTGATAGAAAGATGACATTTTAGAATTTATCTTTTTGATTCTCGAACCTATGGACGATATTTTTGCCAAGTATATAAGGGTATACATAAGTCTGTAACATCACTAGGTACAGTGAATTTACTTTACTAGACAGCATAGCAAAGTAGGATTAACTAAAGATATAGTTTAAAAGAAAATGCTTTAAAATAACATGAGTCAATGAACATTTGTACAATTCACTCATCAAAATATAAATGTATGTCAGATTATGTGTGTGAATTACACTAGGTCATCCAAAACACAACCATGTGTTTAGGGATATGTAAAATTCATAAACTATTCTCTAAGGGGTATACTGAAAATCTCCAAAAGTACCCCAGGTATTTGTTTAGAAATAAGAGATAAACTTTAAGGCAATCTTCCAAGTGAATGTAAGCTTTTCTGAAGTGTTCTTTCCAGTAAAGTGTTACTGTTATGGAGACTCTGTACTTCATGTAGAGTACTGTTGAATATTTTTAGTAGCACATTATCTCAGTAATTGTTATTTTGTAAAAAATAGTTTAAAAATCCTGCAATTGTAAGAATGTCTGAGGTGCTTTTACTCAGACATACAGCAGGCACTTTCTGTTGACTTACCTGCAAATTCTAAATATTTTCGTAAGTTTTTGCCTTTAGCCCTGAAGCTAGAATTGTGTTCTTATTATTGTTTGTGTTCTAAATACTGTGCTCACGTATTGAGAAATAACAATTTGCTTACAATTTATCCAATTTAAATCTGAGTTTAGAATTTCTTTTAATAGGTGATTTTCTACAGAGGCATTAAAAATAAATAGTGCTACTCTGAACATTTTCAGCATAATGACATTTTTTTTTCCTGTTACACCTTTTTCCAAAGTAGTTTTCAGAGCATGTGAACTAAACTGACTATATTGGAGAAGAGGATATAGGCCATTTTGAGAGTCCCCTTGTAGTGACCAATTAGTTTCACTTAATCTCTTTCTTAGCCTTGTAATTGGCAGAGACCACCAAGTAATTATCTGGATTCATGTCCTTAAGTGTTGGAGATTTGCTTTGGATGGGGGATGTCTTGCCATCCACTCGGGAAATCTGCAGCATTCGGCAGGGGTCATGTTTCAACAAATACCCTGCAAAAGTCTCCCATCCTCCTCCCACACGGACCATAACATGTTTGTTGTGCAGCATCTGAAATGAAAGAAGAACAAAACTATTAAATTCTGAGAA